GAGTCATGGTAGTGGGAGCGGGGAGGAAACATTTAGGACCTAGAGGAAAGTTGTATTTTTCATCGTTGTTACATCGCATGTGGTACAGTGTTTTCATGGCATCATTGCCAAAGGGTCTCAAGCTCCTGATGTCACCGAACTAATAATTACAACTGGTCACATATTTATTGAGTGTCTACCATGTGTTGGGTTACTACAGAGGAAAAGCAAAGTGCAAATATTTTTAAAATTTTGAAGACAATTCAGATGAGCAAAGATAGTTGACCAAATAAATACACCTACTAAAAGTTGAATTTAGAAGGAGAAGAGCTATACTTGCTAGGGTGGTCAAGGAAAATGTGAGATTTGGGGAAAGCTCAAAAGAGGCGAGTGTGGGGAGAATGAAGCGTGCAAGGGCGGGGCGGTAGGAGATATGGTTAGGGGTACCAAGGGCCTCTGTGGCTTCAGCTGAAAGCTTATAAAGCGAGGTTGGATTCTAGTGGAAATCCAGGAACAAGCTCTTTGGGCTGGAACTTGAAGAGGACAATGGGTGGTTTCCAGAGGGATATTAAGGAAGACTCCCTGCGGGGTGGAATACGAGTGAAACAGAGGGGAGTCGTGCTCCAATCAGACATCTCATGGCAGCCCCATCCTATCGTAAGGCCATGCTTTATGAGCGGATGGTCTTCAGATAGAAATACTGGGACTTTTATGGCCCAGCAACTTGTAGTGAAAGTCATTAAAAGGAGGACTGGTGACATCAATTGGAATTTCTTGGTTTGTCGTCAAATGAATTTGGTATTTAGTTCCTGATGGGCACTGAAAAAATACCAGCTCAGATTTTGTCCTGTAGGAATAGAACATATTGATGGACTCACGTGAACTTTTTGTGCTTGGATGAGTCTTCCTATGCCTACAGCGTTACTTTATTTCTGATAGTAGAATTTTGGTCAAGACTGTGTGGTACTGCTCAAAATGTTGGTGGCTCCCAATAAAGGGTAATCTGGTTGTGTTTCACAGATGGTATTACAATACATCAGGCTCACAGCACTCGGTACACCCCTTCCAAGGGGACTGAACCTGCTGAAACAGCCACAATGCCGGGACAAAGTATTTCTTATCTGCGTGAGCACTCTACAAAACAGCTCTGACCAATGGCGGGGCTTCTTTCCCAAAAGACTTATGAATAAAACCTAGATCGTGACAGTGGCCAGCAGTCACTTTCTATAGTCTAGTTTCAATGTCAAATGCATGCACGTAGGACTTTGGATGTGTCTTCCTTTCAAGTCAAGTTTAACCTTTGCAACAGGTGGGTGATGGGCATGCATCCACTTGAAGAGAAATTGAAGACCGAACTGAAGGGAACATACATGTAAAGTCTTCGCCAAAGTCTCTGACAAGCCAGAGGCTTTCTGCAAGGGGAAGTTTTACTGTGGGTATTTCTCACCAGGTAGAAACCAGATGCAAGCAAACCTCGCCTGGTGCTGTGGTTGTACGTATGATCAGGGGTTAGTTTATGCCTGGTCCCCTCAGAGTTGAGTGTCTTCCGGTGGAAAGTTGTGTACAATATACACTTGTCTTCCAAAGGTCTGTCCCGATTCATGCCAAGAGCCCTGGTGGCATAGGGACTCGGATACGTGTTGAGCTGCTAACTGCAAGGTCAGCAGTTTGAAACCAACGGTCACTCAGGGAGATGAAGATCAGGTTTTCTACTCTTGTAACAATGTTGTTTCAGAAACCTGTGGGGACAGTTCTCCTCTGTCCTAGAGGCTTCTCGGAGTCACAGCTGGCTTGGTGGCAGTGAGGATTGTTAATGGTGCTAAAATGGGGGCGTGGTAAATGCTTGGGTGTCTTTATGATCTAATCTCCAGAACTCAAACAAATAGGACTATGATGAGAGCCTTTGAGGTGAGACAACCAGACAGACAGAAGAGCCATGCAAGGACACCTGCTCTACCCCCAGCTTGTGCAGCTCTTGGGCAGAAGGGAGAGAAGGGAACTGAAGGGCGGCAGGCACTTCCAAACCAAGGCATGAATTCCCATAGGCTCAGATCCACGTGTTTTTGGAAACAGCTAAGGAGTCTGAGGAGGAAATCCAGTACTTGCTTTGAACAAAACTCCATGCCATGTTTTCCCAAGTACAGGCTTTCCTGGCCCCTCGGGTGTGTTTCTCAGTGGCTTGGGGTGCTGAAGCCTCAGGCCGCTGTGGATTTCCCTGAGGGCACGTGGGCCGGTGTCACTGGTTAAGAGCATCAGTCAGGAGGAAAGCTTAGAGGCTGTGGCCAAGGAGAGGAGGGAGGAAGAGTGACTGATTTGAAAAAGCTGATGTCCTCTGGTCTAGTTAATTAGGGTTAAATAAAACATGGA